TAGCCTTCCCCAGATCTGTGCCTTGTAATAATCCTGTCTCTGAGCTCTGCAGGCAGTTCCTTTGACCTCATGGCTTTTGCTCTGGTACAGTAGGCATTGCCAGCTGTGAGGCCTTCTATAGAGATGTGTGCCTTTCCAAATCATGTCCAATCAATTTAATTTGATTATTGATGGACTCCAATCAAGGTGTAGAAACAGCTCAGCAATGATCAAGAGGAATGGGAGGCACCTGAGCTAAATTTCAAGAGTTGTTGCAAAGGGTCTGAATACTTATGCCAGTGTGATATTTCAGTTTTTTCTTTTTAATAAATGTACAGACATTTCTAAAATTCTGTTTTCACTAAACAGAATTTTAGAAATGTCTGTACATTTATTAAAAAGAAAAAACTGAAATATCACACTGGCATAAGTATTCAGACCAAACAGAATTTTAGAAATGTCTGTACATTTATTAAAAAGAAAAAACTGAAATATCACACTGGCATAAGTATTCAGACCCAGGCTGCAACATAACAAAATTGAAAAAAGTGAAGGGGGTCTGAATACTGTAGATCAATACAAGGAGAAGAGAGAAGTTTGAGAAAAAAGCTGGAATAGGGGTTCAATTAGGCTCCTTTGGCTTTCAACCCTTTTTTTCTGGATCTCTTTGAATTTGGGAACAAATGAGACTTGTGAGAGGAGAATCTACTTTATAAGGAAAAGACAGAGTAATAACAGTATGAGGACTAGGAATCTTTCCATTTTTTCCCCCTCCCTCAATTCCTGAAGCACACAATTTTAGGGTTAGGGTGGTCATAATAGCAGTTGTTGCCTAGTCTGTTTAAAATAGTGATGAGAAGCAAAATACCTGTTCAGGCATTTAGTTCAAACTTATTTAAAAGTCAGACTGGGTCTCCTTGCTGACCATAATCCTTTCATCGTGTCACTTTTGCCTCATCATTTTATACATACCATGCAAAGTCTGAAGCAGGGAGGCCTACTTTACATTCTTAAGCTACTCAGGCAATTTAGAACCATGCTTTCTCTTGTCTGCCATTCTAATTGTTTAAGTAGGGATAATAATAGATATGTGATAATGATTTGAATCTCAGTAGTTGTGGCTACTTAAAAATATCTTAGACTAAGTACTTGTACCATTTCAGAGTAAGCTGATCATTATGACTGATAGAACTACTTATGGTTAATTACAGTATTGTTCACATACCATGTTGTTTTACATTAAATGAGTCTGAAAAGAAGAAACAACTTTTGTAGAGCATAAAAATGTATACCTAGCGGCACACAAAATGAACAAATGGGAGAAAAACAAATCCTTATTTTACCTTCTAATTTTTAAAATAGTGAGCTTTGTATTATAACTATATATTACAATACTCTACAGGAAGATGAAAAGTTTCTGTCTGAAGTTTTTGCACAGCTAACTGACGAAGCTACTGATGATGACAAAAGACGTGAACTGGTAAGTTCATTTCGTAGATTTAACTCTGAAATGCATGTGCTTGTTTATAATTCCTCTTTGTATATGGAAAGGTCATACTTATGTCTGCTTTATGTGTACGCCTATGTCATGGCATGGCACCCAGGACGTCCGTTTTTACTTTGGTTTGGTTTGGTTGTTTTGTGGCTGACTTATAGAAATGTGAAGACAACAGATAGGTAGTTCTGTAGCTTTGTCAGGATCATATATTTCAAAATGTTGGAATGAGTAGGTCCCCACCATTCATGACACATTAAAAGCATAAGAAACATTTACTGAATAGGATAAGTGTTCATTCAGTAGTTTCACATACTAGTTGGGTCTGAAAACAATATTCTGATGTCTTTGGGGAAGAGATAATGAAAGAAGAGGCAATAATGTTACCATCTTCATTAAACTACTACTTCTACTATCTATATTTCCTCAAAAATGTATGCTCTTTTTGCTTAATACAATTCAATACAAGTTCTGTGCTCGTTTTAATCTATCAGCAATGTACTTATTTCCTTATATAAATATTTTCTTTCATTTTGTGCAGGTTAATTTCTTCAAGGAGTTCTGTGCATTTTCTCAGACATTACAGCCTCAAAACAGAGACACCTTTTTCAAAACTTTGGCAAAGTTAGGAATTCTTCCTGCTCTTGAAATAGTAATGGTGAGTTGAACCCCAAGCGAAGCATCTCATACATTTGCTTATAAGGATACCATGCCTAACATTTTAAATAGATACAATTCAGAGTTACTCTGCATATTTCCATACTCGTTTAAATATCCAGCTGATATCTGGACCTTGACTCTTATTTGTAATAACTTAAATTTTACCTGAGGTACAATGTCTGTGTGGATGTGTACATAAAATTTGGAGGGGTATGTTAAATATTTTGAAATGTCAGCCTAATGAGGTAGACCAGATCAAGAAACCAACTCCACAGAAAGACTATAACTATACTTTATTGAGATAGGCTATAGTAACAGAATCTTGCAAAGCTGCTTGTGTTTAACCTTTCCTCCATCTTACACATCACAGAGTCAGGGAGGAGCCAGCCTGAGCCTCTTCCTAATACTATTTCCTTTCCCAGGGCTAAAGGAATATTTCTGTTAACAGTTTCTGAATATTCCCTTCAGGACCATCTCCATGGCTCTCTACATACATATGATGAATATTTTCCAATCTTGGTTCCATAAATATATTAACTTCAGTAATAATTACAAATTGTATAGCAAAACAAACTCAACTTTATGAAGAGCTGTATAAGGAATTTTGGGTGGGTGGAGTAAATCCAGTTATAGCCACTAGTTTTACAGAAGACCTTAGATTCAAGGTGACATGGAATGTTTTTATATAAGTTGTATAACAGGGATGGAGGACCTTCAGTCTTCAGATCCAATCAGCTCACAGGATCATGAATTAGTTCCTTCCCTCCCCAATATTTGAGGTCTTCATTGCATTTTATTTCCTTGTATAAAGTTAGTGGTCTATCAAAAATGCTCCATTTTAACTAGGTGATCTGATTTTGTTTTCAGGGTATGGATGATTTACAAGTTAGATCTGCTGCTACAGACATATTTTCTTACCTGGTAGAATTCAGTCCATCTATGGTCCGGGAATTTGTAATGCAAGAAGCACAGCAGAGTGATGACGTAAGAACCATGCAGCTTTCTTACAAATATAGATATAAATTATATTCCATAAGTAAAGATAGTGGCCATTTCTAGAATCAGGGTTCTTGTTCTGTCAAACCAAAGTATTAATTCTCTATAATAGATGCAATCTTGTTCTCCCATCTCCTGAGAACGTGGCTTTGTGTTCTCAGCAATACATTTCATGAAGATCTTAACAGTTGCACTCAATTATTTGGTAAATAATTCCTCAAAAAGTATTTGCCTCATTATAAGATCAGGTTCCACTTGCTACACAGGTCCTTGCTTTTAGCATAGCAATCGTTTCTCTTCACTTTTGCCCCCTAAGCTTACCAGTCACTTTCTTGTTAGGGTTTTGTTTCTGGAAGTCAGATGCAAAATATGGACTGGAAGGCTTGGTAGTTAATTTGACCTCCTTGAATTTACTAATATTCAGGCATTAAAGGGAAGTGTGGAGCCTGTTAAACAGTTGTATTGTATGTAAGTTTAGAATGTACTCTCCCATGCTTTTTGTTGTTACAGTCTTTAACTATTTTAACTGTATTTTAATGGTTTTGTTTTAATTATTTTGTTTGGTTTTGTGTTTTTTAACTCTGTGTGTTGCCCAGAGTCACAAGCATGAGATGGGCAGCTGTATAAATTAAATAAATAAATAAATGACATTTTGTTTAGAGAGTTTAATCTCTGAATTGTTAATAACATTGATAATACAAATGTCCCAGCAAATTTCAAGAAGCAAGAACTAAATAGGGTTGGTTCCAATACTTTAGTATTTCCTTTGTCTAAAGCTCTGTTCCTATGTTAGGACATCCAGAGCTTTCACCATCATTGTTCTGGGTAATATCCTGGGCCCTTTCCCAGTCCATGTTACTGTCCTACATTATCATCCCAGACTGGGATACTGTTGAAGTCTTCATTCAGAGTTTGGAAAGTGTGAGGGAAGTACAGGACTTCTGGGGAAGCAATGGCGGACTGAAGACGGCTCCACAAGAGCGGAGCCAGTGGCTGCAGTGGAAAGAGGAACTGGTGAATGGATTGGTTCCTCAGAACCCCTCTTCGGATCAGGGAGAGGACTAGGATCACCCACAAGTTTGCTCCATACAGAGGCTCGCCTGTGAAGAGATTGCAAAATAGCAATCTTCAGTGGGTTTGAAAGGGAGCTTGGGGGAAATCATCCTGCCTAGGCCATGGTGCGGCACTTTCAAACAGATGCTAGGTTCGCCCACTTCCTCTCTTAACTATCTTAGGAAATTGCTTGTTATTGATCTTTTGGATGTTAAGAACCTTCTGAAGGGCAAGTTGTGGGAGAGCTTCCTTCTATCCTGGATGAAAGAAATTTAATGTAAGATTAAGGATTAAAAAGGAAAAAATAATGTTTGGAAAATAGCAAAAGAGCATCTAGACTGTTGATTTTGAAAAGTTAAGGGCTAGGTGGACTTGAAAGATATTTCCTGTGGGTTGTTTAGAATTTTATAAAAGTATATATGAAGATTTTGAAATTAACTGTAAGAAATCCTCCTGTGGGAAAGTTTTGCTGATCAGAAAATAAACATATTGTAAGAAGGGATTTTGAAGGTTGACTAGAGGGAACCAGAGAGAACTAAGGATTACAATTAAAGGAGAAGAGACCTGTTAGTATAATGGAACAATATTATCTGACTGTAGAAGAAATTAAGGCTGTCTGGGAGCAATGTACTCAGAAATTACTTTCAGAATTGTCTGGCACTATAAAAATGGATCTAACAGAGGCTACAGAAGAGGAACAGATTCCTTCTTCTCTTATCAAAAGGGACGTGTTAATCTATTGAAGCGGTTTCTGAGAGGAGACAAAGAGAAAATGATAAGAAATCAACTTCTGGGATATTATTTGACAGGATTAAAGACCAAACTTTTTAAAAGTAAACAAAAGGACTATAAAGTGATTTTAAGTAATCAGGGTTAAAATACATACGTTGTGGTTTCTGGTAGCTATTAACGGGATTTTTTTTTTTACCTCGACTGAACGATGAGACTTTAAAGATTTGTTTATAAATGAGGAGAGATTTCTTTTGCTTTATTCTTCAGAGAAAGTATGTTGGAATACAAAATGGGTTTTTTTTTAATTAAGATTAAAATATATATATTATCTCTGGTAGCTCTTAATGGCCTTTTGCTGAATAGGGCTGAATGATGAGTTTTTACAATTTGTTTATTATAAGAGATGAGATATGGGAAGAAGAGATTTTTTACAAAAATTAATGAAATACTAGAGAAGGGGTTAAGTTACCAAACATGATTCTGTTCATCCTATATAGACTGAGAAGAGGGCATTTTCTGGATCCTGCCCTTGCAAAAAATAAGAGGGATGTAAGCCACAAGGCAGGTCTTCTCTGTGAATGTCCCTACATTATGGAACATGCTACCCCCAGTGGTATGCTTGACCAATTCACTTCTGCTATTTTGGAATGTATTGAGAACCATACCTTTGCAATGGGCATTCTATTCCTAGACGGTGAACATTGGAGGATATTTTTCCTGATATTTATCATGGGTAGATTATTATGGGAGATCCTATATTTTATCTTTAAAATGTGTATATTTTACTGTACACTGCCCAAGATCAAACATACATATGTAGATATTCTAGTGATTGCAGATTCCTATAGATGTGTGTGAATATCAGTAGGAGAGAAAACCTCTTTACATACAGTTGTACACATGTTGGTTTCCATGGAAGCCAACACATTACACTATCAAGGTTCTAGGTCAGTGGAAGCCAAGAGACACATAATTGTATATGTGCTGCTCCAGGAGAGATACATCATGGGAATGATATTGCCCATAAGATGTTAGGTGGTGAATGTTTCAAATTACATAATATATGAACAGAACATAAGTCTTTACAGTTTTCTTGTAGGGCATATTAAGCTGAATATTGAACTTTGTTCCTTTTTGCTTTACTTAAGTAAACCTCAGTTGTCACATATTCTTAAAACTATGCATATGGGGAGGGATAGAATATGTGTAAAACAATATGCATGTACAGGAATGGGTAGGAAAATGTCAGTCTCTGTAATTAAGTAGGTTTCTAGAGAAACAAATAGGCTCAAGAGACTAAGCTTTGTCAGTTTAGTGTTCATTTCAGCTGTAAGGTTGTTTTAACACAAAATTTCCGAAATCCCTGTGTAATAAATACATATCAAATTGTTATCTTCAGGCAGAATGTGGGTGCAACATATTTGAGAGCTATGAAGTTTTAATATTATCGTTAAGTTTTTGAAAGCAAAACATAATTTGTTTTTGGTTTGTTACAGGATATCCTCCTCATAAATGTAGTCATTGAGCAAATGATTTGTGACACTGACCCTGAGCTTGGGGGTGCTGTTCAGTTAATGGGGCTCTTGCGCACTCTAATTGATCCTGAAAACATGTTGGCCACAGCTAATGTAAGAAAATGGAAAGGGGTAAAGAAACTTTACTGTCTAAAAACATGTTTTTTAAGTTTAAACATATTTGTGAACCTTAGAAAAACTGTTTAGAAAATGTGCAGTGATTTTACGTTTTGAGCAAATATTCTTTAAAATGTTTTTCCTTTTAAAAATGTATTCTCATCAATGTTACAGTGGTAGCTTTACTTCTCAAACATGGACCATATAGCATATTGCCAGTCTATATTATTAACAGTATGCAGAGATTTCAGATGTTTGATCCTTATGTGTGCAGACCAGTT